CTTTTATTAAGTTTTTAATGAAGTTCTGAATAGGTACTTGAGTGAGCCTTGAACTTTCCTTCACCTTGTAGCAGGTAGAAAAATAAAAGCAAAAATAGCTTTATCTCACCCAGGCAAATCTATAGTACACACATGAATGTGTGGCACATGTATGGGCACATATAGACACATCTTCACAGGCCATGAATTTGGCATCCCAATGTTCTTGGCAAAATTGCCTCTCTCTTTTTATCTATTTTGAACACAGCAGCTCAACCAATGAGAGAAGCTGTCCCTGAGCAGGATGAGATTAGAAGTTCTGTATGGAGCGTGTAACTCAGCACAGGAATTCCCCTGGCTGCCATGAACATTTCTCATCTAAGGCCTACTGTCAGTCCAGAAAGGTGGATGCTCTTGTCATTTCTGTTTGGTTTGTGTTGTATGTATGTATGTATGTATGTATGTATGTATGTATGTATGTATTCTTTCTGATACTGGGAATGGAACTCAGAGCTTCATGCCTGCTGGGTAAGTGCTCGAACCACTGAGACACACCCACAGCCTTTTTCTTACTAGGCTATCCAGGCTTGCCTTGAACTCATATTGTGGACCAAGACTTTGTGATCCTCCTGTTTCAGCTTCCCAAATAGCTGGGATTACAAGTGTGAACCACTACATCAAGCTCTGTATCATCATTTAGTTATCTCGGCTTCCCTCTGCTTTATTCCTCCTACGCTTCCAGCTGTTGTTTACCTGATGTTTCTCTTCACTTGCGCTGATAAAACCAAGTAGGTTTAGGGACACCGTAGCCATCTTGACCCTGTCTGTTTCACATTCATGTCCTGATTGGTCTTTCCACTTCCTACTGCCAGAAGAATTTACCTCTTCAAAATTTGTCATTTCTCAGGTTCCATCAGCTCATTTTACATTTATAAATTTGTATCCATCCATCCATCTTTCCATCTACCCACCTATCCATCTACCCATCCATCTGTCAATCTGTCCATCCATCCATCCATCCATCCATCCATCCATCCATCCATCTTTTCATCCATCCATCCATCCATCCATCTATCTTTCCATCTTCCTGTCCATCTGTCCATCCGTCCATCATCCATCCATCCTTCCATCTTCCTGTCCATCCATCCATCCATCCATCCATCCATCCATCCATCCATCCATCTTTCCATCCATCTTTCCATCCATCCATCTTTCCATCTTGCCATCCATCTGTCCATCTATTTATCCATCCATCCATCCATCCATCCATCCATCCATCCATCCATCCAGTATCTTCACCCAAGATTAATAGCTGTTTCAGTCATCTGGCTTGGTTCATTCTTTGTACTCTCCTACACAGCTAGCTGCATACTGAAGACAGAGACCATCAAGGACAAAACCACTGTGGTCTGTCTTCATATCACTTCTTCTTTCTCTTCCCCTTTCCCCTCCTATACCTCAAATCTAAGGTTTTGTGGAATTTATCCTATATCTTTGCTCATGGATGTATGTTGAGAATTTACTGTGTATATAGCCCCATAAGTACAGGATTTCTGGGTGTCTTCTATCATGAGAGGGGATCTTTTTACTCCACTTAATGCTAGGTGTGGTTGATCTGTAGTCTTTTTTTGAAACTGTAGCATGATTTCCCTCATGATATTCTTGCAGATAAATTTCATCCTCTTCTGTTTCTATCTTCCTCTGGCTTTCTTATCCTTTTTTTGAATTCTTTTTTCTGTTTTAATTCCCAAGACCCAGTTCCTATCTCCAGTGGTTCTGGTTCATTGTTCTGGGGTGTGGCCTGGGTTTTGGGATTTTTTAAAAACTCCTACATGGGCCTGGCAGCATCCAAGGCTGAGAGCCATCATACCACACAATTTTGCCTTCCTGTGTATGTATGAGTTGCAGCTGTTAGTGGTGATAGTACAGTAGACGTATCTGTATATATATATATATATATATATATATATATATATATATATATATACATGTGGCCAGACTATAAGTTGTTTGTAGCCAAGGATCTTTAGCTTTCCCTGCATCGGCCCCACCCAGCATCTGCCACACCATGCTCATGCACTGCTAAGGGCTGTTGCCTGTTCAACCAGCTTCTATGGTTTCTGTGTCTCCTCCAGGGGATAGGCAGTTGGCGTTTGATCACATCCAGCTGTTTTTATCTGCAGTCTGTTGATATAACAGAAGCATCGAATAAACATACTAAGTACATTTGTTGGCCTCCAGAGTGTTGCTGGGTGACCTAGGTCCATTCAGAGTGCCGTCTGGGTCAACCTCCCACACTCGTGCTGCCCTTAAGGAAGGAGCTGTTCTGAAGTGTGTACTGCTGTGGCTTTGCTTAGGAGGAATTTGTGTTCAACTGTTGATCCAAGTGTTAGGTCATAGATTTATTCTGTTTTATCAAGGGTTCATAGAGATCTCTTTTGACTCTCATTTTATAGGTAAGGCTATGGACGTTTTAGTAGGTCAAATAAACTGGAAAATACATGGATACAGAGCCCAGGATTTGGATTCCCAATATGGTGTGTGTGTGTGTGTGTGTGTGTGTGTACACATGCACATTTTACAAGACATTGCATATGCTGAAAAAGTGCTCTATTAATGATCTATAGTCACCAGCTATTTTTTGATTATATATATATACATATACATATATATATGTGTATATATATATGCATATACACACATACACATAACTTATTTATAAGCAAGCCTGCCTTTTCACCTTAAGCCTCAACTGAAGCCCTCTGCCTGCCTTCCTTCCTCCTTCCCACATCATGAGAATGCTGGGATGTTCTAGATGTTGTCTTTGAGAAGATACTTCTAGTAGTCAGTGTTCTAATTTTCTCCTGGGCTATAGTCTAGGGATGGATGATCTTGACATTTCTTGGCCTCTTCCTGTACCTACTAATCTAAAAGATCCTTCTGCAGTCCTTCTGATCGTCTCATCTCGCGTTTAGTCAGGTGTCATTGCCAGAGCAGTAATTCTGTGCCAGGCTTAGTTCTAGGTATTTGGAACACTAAGATAAAAGACATATTCTGTATTTTTACAAGTAGAGTTTAATGCAGGCTGTATTTTAGTAAAATAACATTTCATAATATGTGGCTCCCAGATCCGATGCATTGGAAATGTGGAGGCTGCTTATTAAAATGAGGATTTGTGGGGGGAGGGTCTACCTTAGAACCCCTGGATCTAATCTGAAGCGATAGACATCCAGAGACTAGTTTTTGTGTGCCTCCTAAGTGAGTCTTAGGGTGCTCCGTTGCATGGCAACTGAAGAATTGAGGTCAGTGGTACCAGTATGAGGTCTTACACGATGGGAAGACCAGGCAGATGACAGCTTACTGAGTGCTGATTTCAAAGAGGGACATTAACAGGCCTCAGATCAGCTTTGGGATTTTATGAGGAACCCTAGGATCAAACTACACAGGCACTGAGGAGAATCACTTTTTATCTGCTCCATTCAAAATTACTGAAGTTTGCTCAATGCTGAAGATGCCTGGATCATTCATGTGTGTTGAGAATCTGCTTGGGCTGTATGTCTCCACGAAGGGAGACCCTTTTAGATTCCAGGATAAAGTGTTTCATCGGTGCACGCCTGTAGTCTTCTTTTACAGATGGAACCCCTCTTTGGGTAATTGATTTGGGTTTGTAAAGTTTGCCCTCTAGTGGTCAGCTGTTTGGTCACAGTTGAGCTGCATTTTTGTTGTTTGGTTTGGTTTGGCTGGTTTGGTTGTTGTTTGTTTGTTTTAATTTCAAAAATGAATTCGGATTATTGGAAGTTTAAAGTGGAAAGAGAAGAGATAGATAAGATACAGTTGAGCTGGGTTTTTGATTGTTGTTTGTTTTGTGGGTTTTTTTATTGTTGTTTGTTTTAATTTCAAAAAAGAATTCGGATTATTGGAAGTTTAAAGTGGAAAGAGGGACGAAAGATAAGATAGTCAATAAAATAAGTCAGGGAAATGATGGTATTTCAGAGTGGCAGGCTCCTACTTAGCATCTCAGAATCCTCTTGCTTTACAGATGATGGGGCCCAAGGCTCAGAAAAGTGCTAAGAAATATTCAAGTGGTACCATCATACATAGCCTTCAGCCAAAGACTAACATTCTGAATTCTGGGCCAGGGCCATTTCATGTCACTGGATGGAAGCCTTTTCTCAGTGTACTTGGAGAGCTTATTGTTTAATGGGAGTCAGCATGAAAGCCTTTAGCAGTCACTGTATTTAGTAAAGGGTGGGTTTTCAGACATGTGTTTACGTGTTTTTCTCAGTGTTTGGAGGAACTGGGCTTTAGAGCTGTGTATCCTATGTTTTGTTCTGAAATCAAGAAGAAACCATGTCTGTTTAAGCACCTGGATGCACTCACAGGTCTCCCCTGTGATTCTTGGAAGTGTGGTCCCAGGCTGGCAGCATCAGCACCACCTGGGAGCTTGTTAGACATGCAGCTGCCGCCATAGCACAAGATGCTCCAAGGCTGCTCTCCAGCCGTCTGGTTGAAGCAACCCATCAAGCGATTCTGGTCCACAGAAATGTTAGAGAGCCATTGCCTGCTGATCTGGGAGATTAGCTGCTGTGACTTGTGGAAATAGGGCTCTCAGTATTTTCAATTCTAGCTACGTGAGGGAGCACTGAGGAGTCAGGCGCAGCAGGGCTCATGTCACAAACCTCAGGTAGGATGGATGAGATCATTTAAAAGGGTTGGTTTTTCAATTGGAAACAAGGAAAGACCATGTGTGTAACAACATCACTGTGCTGTTGTACTGTGGGAGCCCACACTGACCGTGGCTCAACACGTCCTCAGAAAGCAATCTTTTCATGTCTTCCCAGTGAGACAGATCTCCCGAAACTCACTTCTTAAGCCAGAAGCCTGTGCTCACCCATCCGTTTAAAATGAAGCAATCAATATTCTATTCTCCACCTGCCCCATAGCGGTTGAGTCTTTTCTTTTCATTCTTTTGTGTGTGTGTATGTGTTATTACCTATAAACAAAACACAATTTTCCAATAGATTTGAAGCTCCAGGATTTCCTGGTGGACAATGAAACGTTCTCTGGATTCCTACAACACAATTTGTCCCTTCCAAGGCCTACTGTGGACAGCTTGCTGCAGGCGGATGTCAGTCTCCAGAAGGTAAGCTACTACCTTCAGCTAAATCAGTGGGGCCTCACTATTATCCTGTCGATGATCCTGAAAAGAAAGAAACAAACCCCTGCCTTTGAAAAAGCTGTGAAGGAACTGGTCAGACCTCAGATGTATAGTTTCATTTCAGAAGTATAGTTTCATTTAGTTTCATAGAGCCATTTAACTCATGGCTCTGGTTGCCATAGACAAACCCTACAGCGAGTAGGATGTGTCACCCAGCATCAGGGCCAGTATGCTGAAATGAAGTTGATTTCTGTGTCTGTCCTTTGGCACTGTAATGGCTTCTTCCTAAAGGGGTTATATTTTATGTTAAGGTGAATTAAGCTCTTTTATTTTTTTTTTATGTAGTCCTGAAATAAGAGCCAGAGATATGGAATCTTAAACTGAAATCTATCACAAAAGATTAAACAAAACACCTGCTGGGGAGGCTGCATAAAGAGACATTTGTTCAACTTTTAAGTATAATATTAGTGTTTGCATAGGCTTTGCAGCTTAGGGTCCTAGAGAACTTTTCTGGCATTCTTTATTCTTATACCACTCCTGGGCAGAGTGCATGCCTATACATTTTTTCCCCCAAAGCTTTTTCTAAAGTTTATTATCTGGCAGAAAGGAGAATTGACCCCACACACTGCCTTTTGGCTCTCTCTGTACTGGCTTAGCTTTACAGTAAGCAGAAGTAGTGGGCGGGCTTATGCTTGAAATGATCTTTGCTTCACATGGCTGAGAATTTTTAAAGTTAGAAAAAAATGTGCTTACTGCATGCCCTTATGAAACTGGGAAAATATGCCTTGTGTTTACCAATTGTGTGGTTGGGAGGCGGGCCAGAGGCAGCAGACTTTTGAAATCGTTGCATTTAGCATAATTTCCATTGCCCCCTGCCAATTTCATATCTGTTGCATGCCATCGGTTTAAACTAAGAGGCATCCTGGGAAGGTCTTTGCATGGTAATTAGAGTTTCAGTGTTGTCGGGATTCTTCATCACAGCATGGTAACAAGGACTTAAGGCAGGAGTAAGCCTGGAGTGTGCTTGAGTATCTGGCAGTCGGTGACAATCTAGTGGACACGGCAGGGCAGATTCTCTTCAGTGTTTATGAAACTGCATGAGTGTTGAGAGGCTTGGAGTTCATCCCTTGCGTTGCTCTACAGGACTGCTCTGTGACCAGAATGGACTGCATTCAGTTAAGCTGACAGAAGGGTTGGTAATATTGTAATAATCCATCCATTCAGCAAGTACTGTTCTAGGGCTACATATACAAGTATGAGCCTCATAAACAAAGGTAGCCCCATATTATTACAGAGATTTCTCTGCTGGACAGTGAGGCTCAGGTATGAAAATGTACTGTCTATGTAAACCTAGGAAGGATAGCTATGTAAGAGTGTATGGCCAAAAGGAGGATTCCTGGTGGGATTGCTATGAAGAGCAGGTAAGGATGACTTAGAAGTGCCTTACAGATGAGTTGATAGAGGCCTGCTTTTCCATATTTTTCTTGGGGTCAAGTAAAACAAAACAGTCGCAATTCTGATGTTCCCTAAACATAGCTTTATGCATTTGTCAAGTATCTATACCTACAGATTCATGGTATAATTGTTTTCATGAAGCAGCCTAATTTCAGTGTCCAATGTCATACATTCCAGAGTAGTTAGGATAATCTTCCTCTAATAGTTCCAGGGGTTTAGACTCTGGGTTTCCATGTGTTCCAGTCACACTGAGAAAAAGACATGCCTTAAGGATTTTTTCTGTGCTAGAAGAACGAGAGAGTGGGATGTATTGAGTCGGCATACGGTATTGGAACATGGCTGACCGTGTCTGATTCATTCTAAGGTTCTTTCCTTCATGGGGTGACTGTAATGCTCCTTTTCTTCAGATCTTCCCAGCTGTACTGATGTTATACTCCCCCAAAGGCATCTGGGACCCAGCTTTCCATCCTGGATAATTTTTTTTCTTGTCTCTGTTTATATCCAACCCTTCCAGGTATTTTTGCAAGGCTACCAGTTGCATTTGGCCAGTCTGTGTAATGGATCAAAGTTAGAAGAAATAATTCAGCTTGGTGATGCAGAAGTTTCTGCCCTTTGTGATCTACCTAAGGAAAAGCTGAACTCAGCGGAGCGTGTGCTGCGCTATAACATGGACATCCTGAAGCCAATCGTGGTGAGTGGGCCTGCTCTGTGCAGGCACTCCAAGTGCTGGTGCTTTTAGAATGTGAAATCTTTTCCTGGACAACGTGTCTTGTTTTTGTAGAAACTTGGAGCTGGCTGGAACTTGGTGATATAATTTAGCCCAGTCATACTCTGGGTGTTCTTTCAAATTTCAGTCCTTTTCCCAAGGGTGACTTGGCGAAGAATGTTCTGGGTGTGGCTGAGTCCAAGCCCAAGGTTTCTGGTGCCAGTTTCAACTAGAAAAGACCCATCGTTCGTGGGTTTTTTTTTTTTGTGTGTTGTTGTTGTTGTTATTGTTTTTTGTTTTAATATATTTCTGAGGAAGAACCTATTTGAAGAAAGATTCCTCCCCCTCCCCATGCCAGATTTAAGAAAAGGTCTTGAAATGATTAATGGAGTGATGGCTACTTATTATTGTTTATAAAACTAGTAGAAGAGGAGATTTTGTTAGTAAAAAATTGGGTTGGATAAGACCACATAAAAATAATTAGCTCATACAATGACAAAAATGTATTAGAAAGACATACAAAACATCACAAAACAAACCATAACCAAGGAATGCAAGTGAGCCTTGGTGTATTGATCATCAGGGTTTGTTATAGAAATTCTACAATATAGATCTGTGAGTTTTCTGAGATCTTTGTCAAAATGACTCCAGTAGCATCTGTAGTATCCAGTATTCTGCTTTTCTGTGTACCAGGGAGAGCTGCTGTGACAATAGGTTCTCTGAAGAGACATATTCTTCATTATACCAAGATGATGCTGTAATCGTGTCAAACTCTGTGAAGGTGGCTTTCAGTTTCCATCAGCATTCCAAGCCTAGATCATGTGGGTTTTAGAAACATCTCAGAGTGGAGTCTCTGTACTGACCATGGAGACGTTCTTGCACATGTCTCAATTCTGCAGCTGTTGTGTGAAGAGTAGGGGCCAACAAAATGATGAGTTTCTTCTAGGTGCTTCTGTGGAGTGCAGGCATGCCAACTTTTAGGCCCAGCTTAATGTTTGCTTACTCCTAAAGTAGTTAATTCTGTTTCAGGTTTTTAAAACTACCAAATGCTTGCTTCGGTGGTCTGTGAGTCCATTGGTTATTGCTTTTATCACTGTAATTCAAGTGAGATAGACATTTCCTTATTGGAGATGTTTGTGGTGTTCTGAGCAGCAGCACTACATAGTTGGATAAGTATACTGCTGCAGATCTGTGCACACTGTTGACATCTTGTGAGACACGAAGGGTCAAGGTCATTACAAATGGCATGAGAGGTGTGATGTGAAATTGTGTTTGGGGGCTGCTGTGCTTCGCTATAAGACATAGAGGTAAACACTTATCCTTCAAATTTAGGAAATATTAATTATTTAAGAAGAGACAGGAATCGATTCTGGTGCCCCTTTGTTCTATTTCATTTTCATTTACTCTTTGAACACCTGTAGTGTTTTCAGCCCAATAAATCTCTCCTCCCGAAGAGAATCTGAACTACGTTTAAAGTAGAATGCCACCATGGCCCTCATCGTCTGTCCATTAGCTGCTCATATTTCGACTTGAAATTCCTCCCCCTGGGAGGGTTTCCAACACCATGGAAATGTACCTTAGACCTGTTAGCTGTGGGACATCCTGTCCTGTCGTGGCCTTCTATGTTAGTAGGTTCATGAACAAGTGTTAATTAAGATGGCTTCAGTGTACCCACTGCACATCTTTTGGGTGTAGAGAGTGGGATTCTCCTTCTGCTGGGAACCCTGTCTCATCAAGTCAAAACGTGGGGGCTCGTGAAGAAGATGATACTAGCGGATCAGGATTGTGCTGCGTGAAAATGTTTTGGGAGCTGCCTCTGGGATGGAATGTCTTTCAAACATTCTGTGATGTTACTTACTGGGTTAAGCAATGTTTCAATTGGAATACTGGGACTGATGCTTGACTTATAACAAGCATCCTTTTTCTCTTGCTACTTGGTTGAAATTTTAATTTGTGATGGTCAGTATGCGTTACCTGTGCTCTTAATCATACCAGTGGACAGTTAATTGCTACAAGAACTTTGAGGACAACAGCCAGATGCATGGCCCAGTATCTTGGGAGAAGACTGTTCCGTTAATATGCCATTTCTGTACCAAAAGTCATCATAAGAGACACGTTTTGAAATATTTTCCCCTTATATTGTTACTATTGTTATATTGTTACTATTTTGGATATGGGCATTTTCCCCATTTTCAGCTAAAAATATTGTGACTTTCTCCTGGGTCTCCTCTAGGTGGTTAGGGTAATGGTATTTGGATAACATATGGTATCCAAATGGTATTTGGATAACATATATGGCAGAGTTAAAAGACCGTGATTTGAGGTCAACAAGATCTGGGTTCAAATATTGGTTCAGCTTTTCACCGATGTCATTGACATCAGAAAAAATATCTTAGACTCTACAAGCCTCCATTTCCTCTTATTTTATATGGAGATAATATAGTTTATTATTTATTATGGTTACTTGTTTTAAATATTTCTATGTGGATATATCAAGAGGTCAGTGCGTGCTCAAAGAATGGAAGCCGATCGTTTAATTGACAAATAATATAAATTGTATGCTAAAAACAGTTGCTGGTAAGGCACATGTTTCCTTTTATAGCCCAGCATTAAGAATAAGAAGCAGAGTAAACAAAGCAATCCTGGAGAATATATGTCTATGCATAATGATACCTTTTGGTCCAGATATGGCCATAAACCTCGAACAAAACTCGCCAACCTCCAGACTAACAGTGCAGTACGTCAGAATTGTTCTAGAACCCTGCTTGGTTGAGATTCTCAAAAAGGTGGTTTTCCAGTAAATACAAGGGCAGATTGATTTATGGAACCCTGTCTCTAGGATAAATGTAACAGAGGTCATGGACATGCTGATAATCCTGAGTACTCATGGTATATTGTTAAAATAATAACCCTTACAGGGAGCTTTGGGGCACCTGGCAACAATTTGGGTTATGTCACTGCTCAGCAGGGTGGATTTGGTTGTCCACATGGGCTAGATGGAACAGGTAATCTTTCTTTCGCCTTCTCTGAACTACTCTTTGGAGCCTTCCTGCATCTTTCCCAGAGAGAGAGGAAAGCCTATGTGGGGATGATGTCTGCCTGCCTGCCTACCCGAGGCTCCATTCCCTTTGCACTGTAGGAGAGGGCCATGATAATGGAGCAGAAGAGTTGTCCAGAGCAAGTTGTTTGCTTCAGTTGTCAGGGTCCTTGCTGTTGCGTTGCTTTGGTTTCTTTTCTTTCACTTCTGCACAGGAGTTTAACATGAAAAGCAGTTATTAACTACATGGGTCTTTGCTTTCAGAGGCAATGTTACATCTCTCATCCTTTTTACACACATCTCTGTTGAGCACCTGGACTGGTTTAAATCTCTGACTTTTGCCTCTGTCAACAGGTAGAAAAAGTTCTGTGCTTTTAAGGGCTGGGGCCATTAGATCTGCCCATCCAGATAATTCAAGGTGATCTCCTTGTTTTGAGGTCCATGTACCAAATTACCTCTACAAAGCATGCTTGCCCCATTGTTAATGTATTCATGGATCCTGGAGATTATAGTGTGACTATCACTAGGAGTACTTCACCTGCCACAACTACCTTTGGATTGGAGAGTATATTTCCTTATTTCTTTGAAATGCTCTCTAAGTGCCCTAGGCTTTTATTGATCCCTCTTGAGCTCTCTGCTTTTTTCTCACCCGTGCTCTGAGAGTGATTCTGTTGAATGATAAACAGTACCTATCCAGGGTTCTCATGCAACAGAGTAAACACTTGGAAGCAGAGTGTCTCTTTTTGAAACATCCGTCCTACAAAATCCGACTATTTACTGGATATGTGCTCTCTCCATTGTACTGGGTTTTAGGTGCTGAAGTTCACTCATGGGCGAGGCAGATGAGATGCCTGTGGAGTTTTCATTCTAATGGGTTCGGAAGACCAACTTTAAAGGCCATCTGTGGATTCTGTTCCTCTGCCTTGTCTGGCCTTAGTGGGAGAGGATGTTGCACCTAGCCCTGCAAAGACTTGATATGCCAGGGTCAGGGGATACCCAGGGGGACCTTCCACCCTCTCAGAAGAGATGGGAAGAGGAGGTGGGAGGAGGGGCTATGTGAGGGAGGGACTGGGAGGAAGAGGGCCAATGATTGGGATGTAAAGTGAATAAGTAAATAAATTGAAGGGGAGAAAAAGGCTGAGGCAGTATATTTAAGGACTTCTTTCCAGGTTTTGAGGTAAAGTGAGGCTTTTCCTAGATAGATTGGGGCTCTGGTCCTGGCTCACTATTGTCTCAGTAATGTGAGAATGAAGTTGGAGGGCAGGACCACAGATTTATCTCATGTCAGCAATACCTTGGATATTGCTCACATGACTGTGCTTGGGTCGTCTTGACCTCTAAGAATACTGTCTGCCTAAAAGGGAGGCTTCTGTTTCTATGGAATGAAGAACTCTCTCCAGATGTCTTGTGATTCATGCTACGTGTTTTTATCAGGGCAGAACTTGGTTCTTATATTCAAGTGCCTGTGGTTTCTAGAAGACCAGTGACCTAGCAGCTGGGTTGTCTGCTTTCCAAGGTGCAAGTGAGCAATAGACAAGTAGAGCTGCCTTATCTTGAAGATCTGGGCTTGTTCTTAAAGTCTGTAGAAAAAGACTCAGAGGACGCATGGGGCTTGATATTATCTTCTGCTTGGTGACCTTTTTTCCCATTGCTTTGTGAGTGCACGCGTGTGTGCATGTGCACACGTTTGCATGTAGGTGGGTATGTGTAGGCATACATATGTGTGCATGGAGGTCAGAAGTAGATGCTGGGAATCATCCTTTTGCACTTTATTCGTACGAAAGGATCTGTCAGTATGACTCATCTCATTAGACAACTTGCTTTGGGTGCCCCCTCGTTTCTCCCTTCCAAAGCTGGGTTACATGCCCACCTGATATTTGTGTGGGTTCTGGGCTCTGAACTCTGGTTCTCATGCCTCTGTCATGAGCACTTTAACCACTGAGCCATA